AAAGCCGCGAGCGGAGGTTCCCCACGCGTGAGGCGTGCGGGGCTGGAGGGGTCTAAACCGGAGCCGTGGTTAAATCATGGAAATTGCCAAGATGGGAACAGTTTTGCACATCCTACTTAACCAGAGGCTAAAACACAGGCGACCCGAGGACGTACCCCCAGTGTACTGACAAATTATCTCCAAAGGCTTCAAAAACCATCGTGAGCGTAATTACTATTCCCAGTCCCACCAAAAACACGACGAGAACTTCTTCAGCTACCTCCAAACCTCCGTCATTTTGTGTTGGGCCTCGAAATAACTGTAATGATCCTGGGAGCGAAGCCCAAGGGAGGTTAAAGCATCTTCCCCTGAAGCAAAAGAACTCCTTAACCTCCCAGCTGGGAATTCCCCCAGTCATTAGGATGATACCGGTGCAAAATCCGAGCCGGGCGGGCGTTACGCACGGCACAGCCGCCGCGGAAACGCCTCTGCGGTGACCGAACCTGATCGTACACAATATTTGGGTAGCGAGTTCTGTAGAGAATAAATATCACACTTCAATTTCATGGTAACTTAGGAGGGTTTACTGGCAAATACCATGGCTTTTACATGGTTCTACCAATTACCGAGCAATTACATGTAACCTAGATCTGGAGGACATGCAGTAGCGATATAATGTATTCCTCTCTGTGTTAAGAAGAAAAAGGCAGTTAATAGAAAACACTTTTTTTTTTTTTTTAATTATAAACCCCTCCACAATATTCCTGTGTGACATTATTAAAACTCCACATCGATATCAAACCCAAAGCAAAGACTGCCATCCCATTAACACATCAGTTGTGGGATGATCAATAAAAATTTACTTTAAACTGCACCATATGTTGCTCCCCACAAAGTTTTATTATTCAGATTCATCAGTTTGTACCTCAACCCCCGTGCAATTAAATCCCATTTAGCAGCACTGACCTTCTGATTTGAACTTGTCATTCCTACAGCTGGTTTGGAGTTTAACAGCACTTTTAAATAATGAAAACAAAATGTCTGTGAATTAACGGTGGGGTACGGGGAGCCCTCCGCTGGGAAATCCCTCCCGCGCTGCTGCCGGCAGCACAGCTCCCGTGCTGGAACAGGGAGAGGGAGGGATAAAAAAAGGGGGAAAAGAAAAAAAAAAACCCAGAGTGCCGGCACATTTTAACATGTTGTAGCATATTTGTAAACATCATTAATCACGGATTAGCAGATGGTAATGTTAATTGCACCTGTGGAAGTAACAAGACCTCAAGGTTGATTACATTTACAAACTGGGATCGGGGCTGTGGCGCGGCAGAGGATTCCCCACAGCCGGCGAGGCAGGGGGGCCTGGGGCGGGGCTTTTGGCACC